GCTTTGATCACACACAGATTGCTCTTCCATACTAGAGAATTATGGTTGTTTGTTCTGCTTTGATCATACACAGATTGCTCTTCCATATTAGAGAATTATGGTCGTTTGTTCTGCTTTGATCATACACAGATTGCTCTTCCAGATAATAGAATTATGGTCGTTTGTTCTGCTTTGATCATACACAGATTGCCCTTCCATACTAGAGAATTATGGTCGTTTGTTCTGCTTTGATCATACACAGATTGCTCTAGTACACCAAAGGAGTGATGGTCGTTTGCTCTGCTTTGATCATATACAGATTGCTCTTCCATACTAGAGAATTATGGTCGTTTGTTCTGCTTTGATCATACACAGATTGCTCTTCCATATTAGAGAATTATGGTCGTTTGTTCTGCTTTGATCATACACAGATTGCTCTACTACACAAAGGAGTGATGGTCGTTTGCTCTGCTTTGATCATACACAGATTGCTCTTCCATATTAGAGAATTATGGTCGTTTGTTCTACTTTGATCATACACAGATTGCTCTACTACACCAAAGGAGTGATGGTCGTTTGCTCTGCTTTGATCATACACAGATTACTCTTCCATACTAGAGAATTGTGGTCGTTTGCTCTGCTTTGATCATACACAGATTGCTCTTCCATATTAGAGAATTATGGTCGTTTGTTCTGCTTTGATCATACACAGATTGCTCTACTACACCAAAGGAGTGATGGTCGTTTGCTCTGCTTTGATCATACACAGATTACTCTTCCATACTAGAGAATTATGGTCGTTTGCTCTGCTTTGATCATACACAGATTGCTCTTCCATATTAGAGAATTATGGTCGTTTGTTCTGCTTTGATCATACACAGATTGCTCTACTACACCAGAGAAATCATGATTGTTTGCTGGAGTTTTAATAGTTTGCTCAGCTCTGACCATACACAAATTACTCTACCTACCTGCGAGTTATGATCATATATAAATTGAATATCCATACCAGAGAGTTATGTTAGTTTGTTCTGCTCTGACCATCCACGGATTTATGATTGTTTGCTCTGCTTTGATCTTCCATGGGTTGTTTACAATACTAATGTTTTAGAAAACGTTCCACATTTCAGTATGCTTGTGTTTTGTGCCATACATAGGCTTGTACTGTTAATTTATTATAACTGTCAGATAACATAAAATATAAATTATGCAAAGTCCTCGATGGACAGACTTCAGCATAATAACATGTGCCTAAAAGTTTCTAAAACGTTTGCATACACTATTCTAACTCTTGTGATTTTGTTGTTGTCTACAAACGATTGAAGGATTTCATAAAATATAAATCAACATTCTCAAATAACTAAAAACAATTTGACACAATACACACATTTAAAATTAACTTTTATAGCTCATCGAGCAATCAGACTGCTTCACTGCTCCATATACATGCACCAGGGATTGCTTTATGAATTATTTGCATAAATATCATTACATTATAACAAAGGAAATTTCAAATGTATTCTATAAAGTTAAGTTTTAATGTTTTAAGGGTCCTATGTGTGTCGCTTTATATTGAATCTGGTATATATTGTCACTACAATTTGTGACCAGTTCCCAATCATACTTGAAGCCATGTTTTCAAAATTACAAGTACCAGTCAAAACTGTTGAATATGATATTGAACCGAATAAAATATATAAAGTATGTAGTACTTTGAGTATATAGTAATTTGTAGATGGTAATCTGCCAAGAACGAAACACCCTCGTTTTAAGTTATTTCATGCACATCGATAAAAATAAATATCCCATTGACTTGTCCAAGAGTGTAAACACGTTAAAGTCAGATTAGTATGCAACAAATAACTTAAAAAATACATCAATAATATACTATAGACCTTAGAAAAAAGCGAACTCCTGTCTGAGGTAAAAACAACTTGCTATGTGTGTGCAACGTGGGTTATAATCTACAATACAGTTAATACTTAAATTAGCGTATGTAAACAATTAATTGTTACATTTTTATACTTGTATAACATTGACATAGTGATGACATCTAAAGTGTTAATTGGGTTGGGATTAAAACTCAGGTTACATAAAATACCTAATTTACATAATATCCCTAATTTACATAATATACCTAATTTTTAAGGTCTATGGCTAAACATCAACAAATGTTACACAATACTGTTAATATAGTCGTGAGGTGAATGTATCATGCCGCATTAATTATGCTTAAAAGACGGTAGTCGTTGCGCTGCGCATGTGCGACATTTGTGTTGATAAACATTGATTTACCAACAATCCTATGCGCTCTTCTAATGGGAATCACAAGTATGAGGTTTGACCTGGGCGCGTCTTGCACTAATTACCGCCGGTGACTCCTTTGATACCTTCCAATCGCCTGAAAAAAAACTTGGTAACGTCACATTTTGTACTCGTTGATCTGAACAGTCAAAATCGCCATATTTGTTTATATGAGACCCATATATCTCGCGCATGCGTGGAGCGGCGACTACCATCCTTTAATATAGTCGTGGGGTGAATGTATCATGCCGCATTATTTATGCTTAATACTGCGGTACTGAAATATATTTAGACATGTGGCTGTGTCATATCACATAGGTAATGTCCGGTGATAGCGGTGGTGAAATGTGCTTAGGAGATGTATCCTCGCCATCAGACATTTGGAACGAGTCGGTGTATTCATCTGTAATAACCGTTACTTGTTCTGCGGAAAGTAAGAACATAAATATTAGTAAATAAACAAAAATAAATACACTTTTAGTATAATAATATTCCTTAATCAAATTTACCCGATAAACAAAATATTTTGGGACTTGCTTTGGCCAAAATGAAAATAAATCTAACAATACACATGTATAAGCGATAGGGTTGATTGTGACTAAACAACGAGAGATGAACGAGACGGTGTTTCTGCCTTGCCTTTATCTTTCTGCTCAGCATTTCGTCTTTTTGTTACCTTACTAAGCAAATATACGACATATGCCATGATGCCCTGTGAAACGAAATTAGAATAATTTAGGGCAAGATATGATATGAGACTTGAGGGTTGGCAAGGGGTATTTGCATAAACTGTAATCAAATGTTTTTACTTTCGTAATAATGTAATTTAAATAAAAAAAAAGGGTAAATTCGTAGACATGGGCAAGGTGTAAAATGTAATCAGGTATTTATTCGTTCGTAATTGGTACAAAGATATTAATTTTGTTAGCGTATAAATCATTTTCCAAATTAAATGTCGTAATTCGTACGCAATTTCTAATTTTGATTATTATACACAAGTTATCAAAAATATTATCAAAATGTAAAATGTAATTAGGAATTTGATTTATTTGTAAAGTGTAGAAACCTAAATTTTATTGTAAATGGAACTTTCATTTTATTATTTTGTAAAAACGTAAAATGCCGTTTTTTATTTCCTGTGACCTGTACAAGCTATCCCCCGTGCCCTCCCCATATGAGTTTGTTACTAAAATCGCGAGCTTACTCATTCAGTTTCTTCTTGTACATCGTGAAATTATTGACATGAACTTCGGTACGAATTCATGGTTAACAAAATCCTCAAAAAATTTCACCCGGTCCCCGTAGTAACAAATAGGTAAACTCAATACAAATCTATTTGTGTTTTTGTTCGATTCGCCGTAGTGAACTTTTTGCCTGGTGTTCATTTTTCTAAAGTTGTGATTGTTTTTTATCTAGCTTATTTGCATTTTTCATTGTTATCACTTGACATTTCACAAATAGCCTGTCGGTGTTTTAAGGTAATCTCATGACCAACGCGGACAGTCTAGTGATAAAAACGTTTGGTTCATGATGATACCATACGCGACTACTTACCACAGTAGTCTGTTGAGTCACGTTAACAGACAAGTGGTAATATTATGACGATTTTCTAAGTTGATTCCATAACTGCTTAATACAACTTTTTCCTTAATATACAGGTCGCGCGATACAATATCGACGTTATTGAAGAACGTTTACACATAAAAACAATATCGACGTAACTTACATCCTTTTACGTAACGGAAGTCACAAAAGAGGCCGGTGTATTGAATGCTATACCCAATTCTGTGAAACTACGAATATGTGACAGTCATCCAAAGGTTTCTAGAATTTCATTATAGCATACCAAAAAGAACTGGCCCATGGCAGATGTTAGAGGCACCACGGCCAGCAAGTCACTGTCCGGTTGTTCGTACACCATTTTTATCAGTCCCGTCGCCAAAGCTGAGTTTTGTATTCCAGTTTCCAGTGAGATAGTCACTGTCTTCTGGAAATCCCGTCTGAATACCCTGGCCAGAGTGGCTCCTAGAATAAAGCCTAGGATAGGAAGTAGAACACTAGCAAGAACTATAGTTAGAGTCCATTGATCGGCCAGGTAAAGATTACTATATACACCAGTTGTTAAAGCAAGCAAGATAAGTAATAACCCGATTGGTCGAATGAGGGCGACACCTTTTTTTGCCCATTCCGGCTTCCGGCTTCGTGTGATCATACCAATGGCAACCGGTATACACAGGAGAGCTAGAGACACCATAATCTGAATGTACGGTACCGGAAAGCTGTGACCTCCTGCCACCCAATAATGCGAGTATATGAAAAGATTGAGCGACATCATTCCTGCAGGGAAATAAACAAAAGAATGAAAATAAGTGCGCCATCTCAGATACCCCTAGTTACTCGTCGACTGTGGATGGCATTGCTGCTAAGATATGGAAGTATGTGTTTGGAATACTTTCACAAGATTTATTTATTATATATGTTTGATATTGCCTGGTAACAAAACAGACATGTAAAGTAGTACCGTAACGGTCACGTAAATCATACACTTATATAATATCAGGTGTTAAATGTATCTATGTTTGGAATTTGCATATTAGTTAGGTAATTTGCGTAATAATTAACCGGTATTAGCATGTTCTCTGCACCTTTCTGCACATTAGGGATTGGTCAGTTTCTTCGGCCTAGGGGGGGGTCGGTGGATCAGTAGGGGGGTTACCCTGTTTTTGATTGTGCGAATAGGGGGGGTCACCCTGTTTTTGATATCATGTTTTCCAGAATTCACACGCACTCATGCATATATTTTTTTAAATTTTATTTCAGAACAAACGATAAAAAAGTTAATCGTACAAATGTGTTCTTAATAATAACTATTGCCTATATTGCCTATAAATTTGTTGATGCAAAAAATGTTATAGGCTAAATATTTTGAGGTTAAAGTTGCCAAATAACAGATTATGCAATGCGGCTAGAACCCCAATTATACAGTTAAGTTTTAAACACATCCCAAGTCCATGTGCTGCTGATATCAGATTATTTTATTTAAAGTCTGAAGTCACTCACCATTGTATAAGATATTTACTGGATTTATACAATTATAACAGGAGACGGAAAGACAACACAGCAATTAGTACAAAGAGCAGTGACAGTTTTTGTTCAGCAAGTCAAAAAAGTTAAATTTGTGAAAATGCTGATATATAAATTAAAATATAAGGGCATATATCGATTGAGTACTTCACAGCTTTGCTTTTATTTACTATCATTAGCAGCATAGATTTCCCTCCTTCCTGTAGCCTTTTCTGTAGTCATTTATTGGCTTTATGCTTCCCCTCCCCTCCTAAGGTCTATTAAATGCAAACGCTAAAAATTATGTCAAAATTATGGCAAACCATGATATTTTCAA